ACTACATCGGATATCAATCGATTTCTAAAGAATATCCTCGTCTCTGATCTCGAGTCTCAAGAGCGACAGTACGTTATTTTTGTCGGCCGTTGTCCTGACCCCGGTTGGATCTTGTTGCCGTCTCTTCGGTTATGTTCCTTCGAACTTCGTGGCCTAGAGCTGGCGGATTCAATTGAACTTGCGCAATCAGTTCTACGCAATAAAGGCTGGGACGTTGATAACTGGACTCACTCCGACCTCGATAGGTTGGAACTCGTTGTCAACTTACTGCAAGGTCTCCCAGCTGCTCTTCTCGAGATACTGCCGCTTGAGAACCAACTGAAGGACCCGTCTCGCGAATTCTATGACTCGATTCACAGAGGAATTATCCATCCAGGGACCTGCACCGAGCCGAAGAATTCGACCTACCGCACTATATTCCGTGAGTTGCAACACCTCTACTCCGTTTTACTAGATTACATTATGGCACCGCTCTTGTGTCTCGCGATATATTGGCACGAGGGTCCGTATATATCCTCATGGTTTAGAGACATGGTCTCCTATGGGCTTTGTTCTGAAGAAGCCCAGGCGGAATCGGCGGTAGCCCTGGCCCGCGATCGAGGTTTCCTAGAAATTAGTACTCTGGGGGCCATAACTTCGATCCATCCACTTTTCACGGTGTACGCTAGATCCCTAGCTTTTACCATTGCAGAGTCGGCTGTCGAAATGTCAACCCGGATTGGAACCCCTCTCGTCCGTTCTGTACTTCAATGGGTACAATCACGGGTTCAATCACGCTTTGATTCCAGGTCAAAGTCTGTGAAGGGCGCACAACTCACAATGACTGCGTTGGGTGTCAATTTGTGCCGCGACAGTTTGTCGGGCATGGCATATGTTAATCGGGTAATGAAGAGTATAGAAATGAGTTCGGTGATGCAGATCCTCGTCACCACTCTTCGCAGCATAAATATTGAGCAGATGCGGTCATACCACATAGGCGCATTACCCAATGTGATCACCTGCATCAACATATGTGTATCTAGCGATCCTGGCACTCTTATTGGCGAATGGCCGGTCCTCACATTTATGCAATTTGCCGCCATCATTCGTTTAATCGGCACGCCGGCGGAGATCAAGCTCAGCGCGAATCGTTACGAAAAGTTACTCGAGAGCATCATTAAGCTCAGCGGAGGAGTTGCGGTCGTTCCACAGTATCTACAATTTGCATTGAACATGTCCAATTATTTGGCAAGCACGCATAGATGCGACGTTTCTCTTCTTCCCATGCACCGGAGGCACGGTGAATTTGTTCATTTGGCTACAGATATCATCACTGCCTCCGCTCGGAAGTACGGTGAAACTACGGATCCCTTTGTTCTATATGAACAGGCCCACACTGTTCGCCACCATATTATCTGCTTGATTCAAAAGGGTCATGGAAAGGAGGTTGCGGAAATGTGGAAGAAGTTTTTGGAGCTTGACGAAAGGGTATTCACTCTGGTCAAACAGTATCTACCTACATCTCTCTTGCTTATAGATGAACTTGTTATTCAAGTCTTGTCTTCGAACGAGGACGAGGCCGCGTCCATGCGCACAAGAGCGGAAAGGTTTAACGCCTACTCGATTCCTCAAGCGTTTTACGAGGGCCGCACAATGTCGTTGAAGTTTATCACAGCAGCGGCAGAGAGCAGTAAGAACTGCGGGAATGAACTCACCGACGAGATTTTGTCTGCGATAACAAGCTACAATCCTGGATTTGAGAAGATTTCTCAAGCATACAAAGACGCAGGTCTTACAGGACTGGAGAATGATACCCCCTGGCGGCCAGAAAATAGATATATGTCTTCCTTCTCAGAATTCTCTCGCCGATACGATGATCCACTTCGCAGAATGCTTGACCTCGAGGTGGCGGTGGATTCAGGCAACTGGGTCGCAGCGATCGAACATCATAATTCGTTTCTTAAGGAAGCGCTTCAGGATCTACGTTTTGATGATGCCTCAGAGCACATAGATGTCCTGATCGAGATTTCTGGGAAAGACCCCGTGTTTCTGGAGGTCCTGGAAGCGGCAAAAGCGTTGAAGCGTATATTTTCACACACAGTCTGGGATATAATGAGAACTGTGCCCTCGGCAAATGGACTTGTCGACGGTGCGATACACGTGCAACCTATTCTAGCCGCACTGGAGGAAATAATAGGCATGCTTAAACGCGAGTGTCAACAGACCCTTATCGAGTACCTTCGCGATTCTCAGCACATTTGGAAGGAAGTCGAACAGTCCGCTACTATGGGTTTAAGACTCTTCCGGTCGATCGGCGACAATGAAGATGAACTGGAGACGGCCATGCGGAAGATGATACGGAGACGCGGCAACGAAGATATCTGAATTCATACATCGCCAAGTGTTGGAAACGGTAGCCGGCTCTGAAAAATTTCCAGAAGCGATCATATCTCTTTACTATCTAACACAATGACAAGGCCGCCTCAGATTACCAGACGCGAGATCGAGCCGATTTCCAACGCCATGCACCATAGGCCTGAACCGGAAAATTCAACATGTCGAGTTGTATGGGGATCCGAGCGAATCGGATGGAGCTCTTAACACCTGACCGAACTTGAAGAACTATCAATCACCGAACCTGGACCCGACCTAATACATCTCCGAAGAAGCGCGAGTAGAAATCGATAATTTGATTGTCATGCATCAACTAGAATCGCCCGCGATCCTCGGCATGCTCTATGCCTCATACGCTACTCGAACAACAGTCCTCAAGGGCAGTCGACCAGTTGTTTAAACTTAATGGCGACGGCGCTTTCTCCAACACCAATCCAGAAGGGCTTGAAATCATGATATCATTGTAACTGCTCATAAGGTTGAAGGGGTTGAAGGAGGGGTGGACTTGGGGAAGCGGATGTATGCACGTCATGGCTACTTGAATGGAACAAAAACAAAGACTTTTTCGGTGTACCAACAGGCTACATGAAGTTACACACGCCTCAGAAGTTGAGCGATGCTCTCTGTATCCTGCAGTACAATGTAGTAGCCACTCCGGTTACATGGTGCAGATGCCGTGTTACATGGCTTATATGGGTTCATGATCAATTAAGATAGATGCAGTGGGGATTCGGAACTCCACCCAGAGTGTCCTTTGCCCAGGGGTGATCCGGTGGTCATATAAAAGTCGCACTATAATGTGCTTGATTATATATCTCGACATTCGCTGAGCGAAGACTCAGATATACGGCATACTACCTCAAAACCAATGTATTGTATCATATCTCGAAAAATAGCTAGGTTTAGTGTTAACTCCATGCTCAGTACGCAACATCTATGTATGATTCTCCATAATCCGAAAACCCTATCCTCACTTCTGCTTATGAAAACGTCCCATTCCCGTATCCCACCACAAGTGCCTGAATACCTGACTTTGCCGCCTGACTAACTTAAGAGGGGTCTAACTAGTTATGAGACAGCAAGCTGAAAGAAAGAAGAATCTAATACATGCAATCACCACTGGAACTCCGCCCATAGCCACGATCTGAGTAAAACAAGCGAAAAAGGGCTAAATAGACGTCTAGAGTACTTCGGCGTGTGAGCTAGACGATCTGCATGCACTCGTTCTCCTATAGATGTAGATCATTACTTCTTGAAGCGTCCTGCTACTGGCACCAGTACAACGATGACTGGATGGATTTTTCGGGATCCTTATTTTGGGTGGTCAGGACCAATACTCAGAACTGACGCTTAGCTTAGCTGATAGTACTGTATGGTGCTAGGAACACCACGGGTTCGAAACCCAACGTTTGTGCTGTAAACACCGAATGCAGAATCCTCACTTAGATTCGAAATCTGTAGTGATTGTCCTTTTGCTCTTGATTTCCACACTCTCTCCAATGTATATTAATTATTCGCGGGAAGAATTAATGTGGAATTTACTGCTGCGACTATCATTTACTCACTGAAATTAAAACTAGTGCTCCCAGGTGTAAAAGAATGATCAATGCAGGATTTGACGCCGCGACGTGGTGTGTTTGGAACACTGGTGCACCTGGGTTTTAAGTCTGTAGGTATGTAGAGTAATCAGTGCGGGTTTCGAACCTGCGACCAGGTAGATGTTTTGAGCACCCCCAGTGTGTTTGGAACACGAGCTAGAAGATCTGGTCTTGTTTATTCGATGGACCTCTGGGATCTTAAACTTGGTTTGTTTAATGGAGGATTGCAATTAGAGTATCGGTCAATTGGGTGTACATGTAAATTCGGATATCTATAGAACCGCAAACTACAGTATACGATTTCGATAGGCAGCACTTCCGGGGTGATCGGCTGTGGAAAGGATATGGATGGGTGCATAACTCAACGGTCCGGGGGTCAACACACAATGTGGTTGAGGACGCGAATTCATTTTACGGTCTGTAGCCAGCGTGGGAAGTACAAGCAGCAAGATGAAAATCACAAGATAGAATATGCCTGGAATGGGACAGCAAAATCGATGCAAGTAGCGGGTGTCACAAAAGCTTCGGTTGTAGTGAAAGCAGAGGGTCCAATGGAATTTGTATGGCCCAGCGGGGGACTGGTGGGTGCAGTGGAACTTGCAAACACAGCAGAGAAGCATACAACAGAAGAGTAGCGACAGTGGGAGTACCACCTGGCGTAGCAATTGTAGCGACGTGACGATGCATGGTGGTGACGGCGGTGGTGGTTACGAAGGTGATTATAATGCGGTGTCACCTCTTGGAAGCCCATGTTGTAAGCTATTCAAAGAAATAAAACACCTGATTCCGGGGTATAACTTGTGGTTTGCTTCACGACTTCATTCAAACCCAAATCTCCAAGTACAGGTCTTGAAAAACAGCTTCCATTGATAAGCATATACTAGTACTTAAGTGCGTACTAGTGTCACAACCGTAGCGTCGTAAGCGTCGTTAGAATTCAAAGTTGACATGATAACCGCCATCTCTTCCCACCCTGCGGAACTCAGCTTCTCTCTCTGGGCAAACAACCATCATGAAATCGTTAACTTACCTTCAGTCAGTCCCATTTGGTGTCCCAATGAACACGCAGCGCAGTCCTCAGCACCAATCATTTGCAGAATCCCACTCCTCATTTCCCTCATGCCCCAAATACCCCTCATCTACGTCAATACCAACCGGAAAGCTTTCAAACACCACCCTCACTCCACACTCCCAATTGAAAAACCCATAATTCTTCTCGGGATTAGCGCATCGAAGTGCTCATCCCCATTCTTGTCCACCTGCTTCCTCGACGGCAATCCGCAATGACACTTCTCGTTCTTATCGTCGATTCCGACTTTATCATTCGGTCCTCATCCCACAAAGCTTGTGCGTGGGCTGCAACCCGGAACGTTGCAGACGTAGAAAACGCGGCCGAAGTTATGGTTAGTTTTACGGACTGTGCGGCGGATCGGTTTGGCGTCGGGATGGCTGAGGCAGCGACGGCGGAAGAAACGGCGCTTCGGGGTCGGTGTTTGAGTGGTGGTCTTCTTAGCGACCAAACCCGACTTGGGACTACCGCTAGACGAAGACGGGGCCACAGTCGCGGAGGAGGTACTACGACCGCGCTGGATCTTCCTCGCTGTTCCAGGGCGTCTTCGAGAGGGAGTGTGCGGAGTCGTGGATGGTTTGGTGTTGGCCATTGTCTCGATAGAGGAGATGGGGTGTATTACCTATAGTCGCCTGATCGTCAGTTTGAAACTGTTTGATGGGCTCTTAGTAGCTAGAGGGAAACCTACCGTTAAGTTCACACTTAAGCCGATCTCAGAGCACGTGGAAGCGATGGGTCGTTTTTTGGTTGGTGTGGTCTATATAAAGCATGCTCGATCCTGGGGCTGGGGGTCAAAATCAAAAACGAGTAGAAATTCGAAAACGGGGTAAAAGTGCCAACACATTGCTGATGTGAGTCAAACTGAAATTCTATAGACTAAGAAAAGCTTTTCACCTGGCCAAAGTTCCCAGAATCCTGTAGAACTCTACCGAACCCTGCCGTGTAGGGCCAATCCATAGAAATCATAGGAAAACATCCCACAAATCCATAGACGCTGTTTTACTTGGGTCACAATAAACCGGCTACTTTTATTCCGTAAGTATAATGATCAATTCTTCACCGTAGTTTAGGGACACAGATTGCACAGCGTGTGATGAATCGTGATTTGGTTACTGGCTACAAGAGTTCATTCGTTGCATTTCCTTGTGCAATCCAAATTTTGAGCATGATGCATCTCCCATGAAGTAATAATAATAATATCGCCAATATCGTCCTCGCAATCACTGCAATAGCAGTATCGTGAGACCTGACAAATCCCCACCACCACCTGTAGTTCGCCGACCAAAAGCCGTGACATAGCCCACCACCCCTACCACATAGCAGAATCATATTCAATCGCTATCGTCATCACCATCATCACCACCATCATCATCATCATCATCATCGTCAAGGTGGTCAGTCTCATACCCCTCATCTCCCTCATCCTCCTCATACTCCTCATACTCGTCATAGTCTATCAAACTAGAGCTGTACCCCATGCTCACATCGTACGATGCGATATAATCCGAATTGGATTGGAAACCTTCGCCATAACCACCATCGTCGTTATGACTCAAGAATACCAGGCTATCAAAAACCCCTCTCGGCCTATCATCTTCTTCCTCATAATACTGGCAATCCCTTCTGGGATTCGCACAGCTGAAAAAAATGCCTCTCTTGCCAGGCTGCTTCCTTGAGGGCAATCCACAATAGCACTTTGCATTCCCATCCTCAACCCCGATCTGATCATCCCAGCCCACAAAGCTCTTACAGCCGGGATGCGGGCACGCATAGTACTCACGGCCATCGTTACCGTTGCGATTGTAGAGGCCGACGACTTTGCGGACCGGTTCGGTGGTGCGGTGGATGCGGCAGCGGCGAGTAAACGGAATGGAAGGAACAATCGATTCAGGCGTTGGCGGTTCGGAATTCTCGGGGGGTTCGGCAAGATGATGGTTTCGATCGGCAGTTGGTACTAGGCTGCGGCGACGAATAGACATCGAATGCGCCGGACTGGGAGAGGCACTGCGGCTACGGTTATAGGTGCGAGGCGTGCGAGGGGTTGCTGGAGGGTTCCCTGCCTGAGGGTTCCCTGCCTGCATCCGAGCAGGCGGGTGAGAGGCCGTCAGAAGATTTGCGTCGACGTCGGTCATGGCTTCTTGGAGGCGAGCTGTATCTACCTTCGCCTTAGCTTTGCAATCTCAGTTTGAAGTGGCTGAAGGGACGTCCGGACACCTACCGTCCAGAATTGAGTTCCTGCAAAATATTAGATGGTATGGATGAAAGGTTGTTTCGTCCAATGTGTGTGTGACGGAGTTTATAAACCCCTGCTTGGGGTCAAATGATCAAACCGTCAGTGAGCTGGCTGATGATTGGACAGAATCTGAAACTCTTCAGAACAACGAAAACAGCTCTGTAAGGGATCTCGGGAAGCTGCAGCGTCCACGTCAATTCTGCAGTGATCAGGGGACCAGTTTTACAACGCCTGGAGTCAACAATGCTCTATATAGGTTCCCAAGGCAGATTTCCCAAGGTAATGCTGGTGATCTAGACTTTGATTGAAGATCGATATGCACATAACCGCAAGAATTCACTTATACTGGTAGCACTTGGCATGGACCAGTTATTCCCACTTCTGGATATGGCAGTGCTGGAAGTCGTTTAGTGGGAGAGCTGAACCCACCTGAACAAGCCTAAATCCCCCTGTATAGGGCTAGTTGCCAAGTACGCTACCAGTATATATAGGTAGATAAGTGAATTTCTACGGTAGAGTATGCAGTCTGAGCATGCAAGCTTATCACCCCGAACCAGGTGGTGGCAGAGAAGGAGAGAGATCCCGATGTCGGCTGTGTTTGACAGTGAAAAGTGTACTCAGGCAGTGCTGGATTTTTTTGGAAAGCACAGACGTGGGTAGAAGAGTGGGAGTGGAGGAGGAGGAGGCGGTGAGCTCAGATGACGCAGAGTGAAGGGTAGCGGAAGGGGAAGCACGACTTGGAAGCCTCGGACTCCGGTTTGAGGTATAAAATTGCATTTAAATGCCATAGCCGCAAACGGCCGAATGCAATTATAATAGTATATAGTTATATAATAGTATAGCTACGGATGTGATCATGCAATGTCCGCACGAAGCATCCTCATTGGTTGGTTCGCAGCATATCCCTGCAAAAAAACATTCTTTCCCAGTAAAATCCGCCAATATTGATCAGAGAACTTAGAGTTTGGTATGTACTAGGATGGTACCATAAGTCGGGCGCACTTCTAGATCTAGGATCAAGTTCCTGCTGGCGTATGCAGCTATCTGCAACCTTCTGCAAGCTATTTCCTCAGCATTAAACTATGTATGGTAATGAGAGTGATTTTGCATGATCGATTTTGCGTGAGGAAAAAAGTACAGCGTGGTCTGTTTATGCCCTTGCTAACTGTCTATTGTTTCCACCCCTCTATCTAATATGGAGTTGCATTTCCACCAGTATCTATAACTGCTTGCAGGCGAGTAGGCATGCTTCTAATTAATGCCTCTAAGCGCTCTTCTCCAATGCTTTCCTAAGCAGCCTTCATAACTGCTTCCAGAGTCTTGATATCGCTAACTCTACCCCATATCTCACCCAGCTCTGTCTCCATGTCTCCCCAGAGTGCTTCTATAAGATTAAGATCTGGTGACTGT